CTCTCTCTCTCTCTCTCTCTCTCTCTCTCTCTCTCTCTCTCTCTCTCTCAGTTTCGCAAAAGATACTTCTTGAACTGTGTCCCAAAAAGCACAGGGGAAGCTTCAAACTGAAGGGTATATACTAGTTCGACACTTCGGATATGTCCGTAACACGAAATGCTGTGGGTGACTATACGGTGCTTGTCTTTTCCATCTCTCATCCCCCTGGCGTGCTAATATGTCATTTCTTGCGGGCTTCCTCTCTGTCAATCTCCTGTGATCTCGGATATATCCGAACTTCGCTTATCTGGGAAAATCACATTGCCTTGCTGCTCTTCTGCAACAACCGTCTGAAATGCTTTTAAAAGCGAGGCTGATGATCTCCGCGTGTGCTCGACCCTGCGCCGTCCGTGCGGCGTCTCGAGAAAATGAAGTACAGTCTCTCTGAGACACTCTGTCTCTCGCTCTTTCTGTCTCTCTCTCTCTTGTTCTTTATCTCTCTCTCTTCAAATGTACACGACCATTTCTTGGGGACTTCCTCTGTCTGTCTATCTCCTGTGATCTCGGATACATCCGAGCTTCGCTTATCTTGGAAATTCACATTACCTTGCTGCTCTCCTACAACGATCGTCTGAAATGCTTTAAAAAACGAGGCTGATTGTCTACCCGTGTGCTCGACCCTGCGTCTCCTGAAAATTAAGTACAGTCTCTCTAAGACTCTCTGTCTCTCGCTTTTTCTGTCTCTCTCTCTCTCTCTCTTTCCGTCTCTCTCTCTCTCTCTTTCTATCTATCTCGCTCTATACATGTACACGATCATCGGTGCAGAACTCCAATTCATTCTGGTCCTCACACTTCTAAATACAGGTCATCCTACTCCTCTAAGTCTGTGAAGAGCCACAACTCGTTTTACTCACAAACTCAAGTTTGTGTCATTATACTGTTCTGATTCGGATGAGTGGGATGCTCAACTCCAAGTGAAACTATGACACAGTGGTATATATTACTCTGTTCTGGTGTTCCACATCTGGACACAGGAGATATATGTATTGAGGCAGCAATACATATTATAACACAGTGGTAGCAGATATATGTATTGACTCAGAGGCGTATAACACAGTGTATACTCTGCTGTGGTGTTCCACATTTGGACACATCCGAGCCACGAGAGGAGAGCAACTATATGTACTGACTGTGCTCCTCGCCTCAAAGCTGCTTTACTCCTTGTTCGAATGTATCCGGATCTGGAATACTACAGCAGACTATACACTGTATCATAAATTCGTTTCAAAATAGTACACACAATAATGTACTGTTTTAACGAATAACATGTTACACACACACACACACACACACACACACACACTCACACACACACACACACACACACACACACGAACAAACACACACGAACAAACACACACACACACACACACAGAGGGTAGTTTTTTCACTTTTTTTTTTTACTTTTTTTAAGTTTTTTTTTTCCACGCGTGTCCTGCCACGTGTTCGAGGTCCATTGCGCTAGACCCGTTGATCGGTATTCAACGGGAAGCCCCCATCGTACCGTTCAACGGGGATTCAACGGGGACCCCGAGGGTGTACAACGGGTACAACGACGTTGTACAAAACCCGTTGCCTGTTGATAGGACACACAGGGAGAATGCACGCGGCGAGCGAGGTGGCGAAAGAGTTGGAAGAGGTGAAGAAGCAGAGAGACCAGATGGCGACGCAAGTAGACTTGTTAGGGAAATTGATGTAATGGCGAAAAACATGGAGCGCCTGGCACGGGTCCATGAAGAACAATACCTGTTTGGTAGAGGTCAGGACATTGCTGTACCCTCTGTACGGTAGGGGCTCCAGGATTTCGCCAAGGAATTGGTGACGCAGATGGGCTCGGAGGTGAGGGCCCGCATAGAGGGCATATAACGTTATTGTACGGGCACCATAGAAGGCGTCAAAATTGACTGCCCCCAAGGAGGAGGAAGCATGTCCCTGTAGAGAGCCGGTCAAGGTCAATTTTCCTGACTCCTATAGCGGGAAGCGAGAGGAGAATTTTGACAATTGGGAAGCCAACGTCAAAACCTACGTCCATCTGCAGAAGGTCTCTCCAGATGAGCATATCCTCATAGCCATCCATGCCCTTCGGGACGAAGCAGCAAGCTTCGTGCGTTCCTTGTACCGCGCTGCTAACTGCAATGATGATTCAATTGCTTATTCTGTGTTCACTCCTCTCACTGAATTCCTTAAGTTATTAAGGGAACGGATTGCAGACGTTTCGCATAGTCTCAAAGTCTCTGACAGACTGCAAACCATCCACTTCCGCCAGTGGAAAAGTGTCAGGGCACTCAAAGGCGTAATGGATGAGTTAGTCGCCATCCCGGACCATGGGGTCACAGAGACCCAGTTGGTCAACCTCTTCTACCGGGCTATGCCTGAGCGATTACTAAGGCACTTCTTTGAGAAGAGTCAGCAGGCCACCATGACCTACGACCTGTGTGTCCTATGAACGGAGAACGGGCGAAATTCAACGGGTTCAACGGGCCTGGGGGCCCCTGTTAAATCGCGTTTAACGCGAAAACGGGGGTGTTCCGTTGAATTTTGAAAAACGGAACCGGAGCATTGGGACTCGGACACGTGGCCCTATGCGCCCAGACACTAAAAACAAGAAAAAAAAAAAAAAAAATTGACCCCTGCTAACAGGGCGGGGTGGCCAAACATGCCCCTCCCTCCCGAAATTCAAACAGCAAGAGGGAAAAAAAGTAAGGGTCACCCCATACCCCAAGACTGTGAGCACATGTGTGTGCTTGGTGCATTTCCTTCTATTTTTTTTATTTTTTTTTACAAATGTTGCAATCTAGTCGTCCAGTCTCATTTCCGAAGGGTCCCTACGGATTAGCATGGACCCTTCGTGGAGCAACGACTTGGAGACTACCTCTGTGGCCCGAGAATATATAGTCAGGATTCGAATTCAGGTCTGTGCAGTCTGTGAAGCTTAGTTATGGGTCACAAATTCTCTGTTTTCTCGGTAGCAACAGGGATAGGCCACCTACCCTACCCATCCCCACGTTAATACTCCCAGCACACCCCCTGTCCCTACTATCCTACCTCAGTGTGACCAGCACTCAGGACCATCACCCTACCAGTAT